AAAAATAAAAATAATATTTTCAAATCTAGGAAGAAGGTACAAAAAAATAGGTGACAATCTATACCTAATGATAGAAAAAGAAACAGTAAGATTAGAAGATAGTCTAACTGCAATGGTACGAATAACAAGAGAAAATGAAGAAATAGATAGGAAAAAAGAAATAGATACAATAAAACAGCAAGCAAAATTAGAAATACAACAGATTGAAGAAGCGAAAAATGATAAGATAATTGCCTTAGAAAAAGAACTAATTATGCTTAAAGAATTATATGCGGCTAAACAAAAAGAAAAGGAAATAGAAACAAACTTAAAAATAGAAATAGAAAAACTTAGAGAACTAACTAAGGAAACACCAGATATAGGAATTGATAATGTTGATATAGATGAAAATTGTTCAGAACAAGGCTCAGAATATTAGAGAAAATAGGAGATAATAACTTTATAAAAACCGAAGCTGGTAATCCTATAGAAATAAATACGGAAGATATTAAAGATACAAAACCAAGTACATCAGGTACATCAGAAGTAAAAAATCCAAAAGAATTAAGACCTAATTATTATACAGTCAGTTATGAAGAATCTGATAGATATGATAGTCTATGGAATAAAAGATTAAACAAAAAATGGACGCCATCCACAACATCACGAAATAATAGTTTCTTAGATTTAGATTGTGTAACAGATATAAACAAAACAATACAATTATGGGTAGGATATATCTCAAAACAACTAATAGATAACAAAATTGGAATGACAGATGTACCAGGATAGAAAGGACACTATTAGGAACAGTAAAACTATGGTTACAAAATTTAGCAGAAGAAAGTATAAAAACATTAAGAAATAATAAGAAAATAGATGGAGAAATTGCAACTACACCAATTGATATATTAAATAAATATGAAATAGCCATAAGAAATGAATTCAGTAGCACAACTACAGAAGTAGAAGAACAAAATAAGGAAAAACAATTACATAGAAATTTAATGTTAAAATTAGTTATATGTAATATGTGTTATATAGATGAATATACATGTACAAGAGGTTTACTGAATTGAAGAGTAGGGGTTTACTAAAGCAAAAAGACCTTTTAGACCAAAGAAAAAAATAACAGAATGTACATGTTATAATTGTGGAAAACTAGGACATTTAGCTAAAGATTGTAAACTACCTAAGAATCCAAAGAAAAAACAAATATCTGAAATAATAATTAATGATGAAGAATATACCCAAATAGATTACATAGATTATGAACTAGACAGTGATGATAGTATATATGAATTTGAGTCACTTGAAAATGAAATATCTGAAATTGAAATAGGAGAGAATATCGATGACTGAAAAAGACGTACAAATAATAAAGAAAGAAGAATATACAAATGAAGAATCTACAGAACAAAAAGTAATATTTGATATTTCTTTTTGTGATTTTAGCATTGATTTTTGCTCTAAATCAACATGGGTTGTATTTGAAAAAAACATAAATTCTCTCTTCAGGCTCAGATGAGATAATTTTTGGTTGGTTTGAACATTATTTTAGCCCCGAAATTTTCATGTTGGTATCTTCCTGGTGCATTTTTATATCCAAAAGGTAATACGTTCCATTCATAGAATCCTTGTGGTACTATAAAAGCTGTTAATTTTTAGATTCTTCTTCTAACTTTAGATGATAAAATCCTGATTTGCAATCAAATTTACTAAAATAATTATATCCTTGTATTTGTCTTACTTTTAATACTTTGTTTGGTATAGGATAATTGTATGTTTTTGTTTTTGCATTTTAGATTTCTATAGTCAATTACCATACGGCTTTTCCCTCTTTTTTGTTCACTATGTTTATTTACTTCAAAGGAGAAAAAGAAACCAGAACCTTCTTCATCTTCTCTCTCTTAGATTTAGGTGGACATTTAATAATGTAGACCCCACTATTTACTTTTGATTTTTTTTTCAGCCTTTATTTTAAGAAATGGTCATGATCCACGTGTCAAAAAACAGGTGGAGCCTCACCCAACTTTGGTTGGTTGGGCCTCTACCATGGTAAATTTTTTCTAGAAAATGTGATAACAAATACATGAATAACTAAAGTTTATATAAATATCCCCATATTACTAATATTTGCACAAGTCTAGCTAGTAACCAAATGACCCTTATGGTCTAAAGTACCGAAAAAAATAATTATTTTTGACTTCCCAAAAGCATGGCCAAACAAATTATGTCTTGACAATTTCCATCAATGTGATTTGATTTTAGGGGTATCTGATCCCTTTTAACATCTTGGATCATCATGTTTTACAACTAGAAAGTGGTGATTGTGATTTCTGGAGCCTAGAGGTCGGGGTAACCACTTCATTTTTTTTTTCTTCCCTATACTGTTGTGATCATTTTTAATCATCTCTTATCTTATATAATATTCTCTAGTATTACTATAAGTTACTTGTAAATGTTTAGAATTTTAAAACTGAAAAATCCACCTTAACTTCATGAATCTAATTGCCCCTGCCGTATAAAATTAAAGTGAGGCCTTTACGGTTCGCTCATGATATCCCAAGTTACAGTGTCTTGGTATCAAATTCTGCCTCCACATATCAATAAGAAATAATAAAGTACCTATACGAAAACCACCTTAGCAAACTTGACAAGTCCTAGAGCCAAAAACAGTTGATCAGGAACATCTAACTATACAGGATACGCTCTAAATCTAAACAATATTTAAGGCCTGAGGACGTAATCACATCAACTGGACTTATTACTTCATTGGAGAAAGGTAAAACACACCAATATGTAGAGCATGTCACAGATGACAGAGAATGCTATTCAGTTGCTTGTCCTACGACTGGAACATTCTTTTAGACCTTATGCATTGGCGGCAAACTTCCACTTCTCATTTCCTGCAAGACCTTCAGTGCTGATTTTGTAACCTTCAAGTATTCCCATGTTATCCATCTCCACAAATTCTTCTGCATCTTTGACTCCGCTACTTCTTTCCCCTCCTGGTGTTTTATTACAAGGGTTTTGAATCTCTGAAAGATCTTCAGCTACACTGGTTACTCTTACACTACTTCCTTCCCCTCCTGGTACTGCTTTAGATGGAATTTTCGTCTTTGCAAGTTCTTCAACTCTGCTACTACTTCCTCCAGTAACTCCTTCACTACTACCTCCTCCACTACTTCCTTCTCCTTCTGGTGCTTTCGATGGCTCATTTTGGGACAGAAGGCTACTAAGCATGGTCTCACACTCCTTCACTAGCTTATTCAGAACATCAGTTTTGAAAAATGGTTCCTCTAGCACCTTTTGGATGACAGCCAAGCGAATAAGAGCACCAGTATGTTTATCATATTTCTTTAGTATCTTCACTAATCCTGCAGAAAGCATTATTTCCAAAGCAGAAAAAATATGTGAAAATTATAAAAGAACTTAAAATAATATCCAAATCATGTCAGTGGTACAATTATGGATGTAACTGAAGAGAATCATCCTGCATTTTTAGGCCAACGAGTATATTTGCAATAGCAGAAAGCTTAAACATAGTAGTCTGGCAGAAGTCTAATGTTTTAAGGCGCCAACAGAAATTCTGAACAAAATGAGCCTCAAAGATCTCATCTATGCCTATTCACAATCAGCTAATTACAGAAAAAGCTTAAAAATGAACAAATGTACCAATCAGTTTCCATACATTACTAAAGAATTGGATTACAAGGGCTACGCCAAAACACAGTTAGATAGCCCTTGGCTCAAGAACTACAAATCTTCAAGTTCCTTAATAGAACTCATTCAAAAGGTCCTCTAACAATCTATAGTTCATCATCCAATTGGAACCTGGCAATGAGTTGCTATTTTCAAGATTTTGTTACGAAAAGAGTGGCAAATGATTTAATGCCTGAAAAATAGATCATCGTTCATTTTCATTATTTTCTTCATTTGGTTTTTGCATGAAGAAGTATTGCCTTTACCAATTGCTATTCGATAAACTATTGGAGACATTTCCGTTACGGAAAATGATGTAATTCCCATTACCAAGTACCTAACTGACTACTGCCTCTCTCATTGTTTTGCAGACAGTGGTTCCTTAATAATTTTCTTTTTTTTCTAATGCACTCAAGGGTGTGGCCTAGTGAGGTGGGTTGAGAACCATGACTTATCAGGTTCAAATTCTAGCAGTGACAAAAACACGTGATTTCTTCCCATCTGTCCTAGGCTTGGTGGATAGAGATACCTGCTGCTGGTGGGAGGTGGAAGGTATTCCATGGAATTAGTCAAGGGGCGTGAAAGCTGGCCTGGACACGATGGTTATCAAAAAATAAAAAATATTTTTCTAATGGAAGGATTCCTCTTCAATTTCTTTCCACATTCACCGAAGAAATGTCACTTTTGAACAAAATATTTACACTCTCTAATAGTCAAGCTGCATGAACAAAACCATCAATGAACAAAACCATGTTCAGCTTGCTTCATGCTAAGCTTGGAAGGTCTTAGTCAAACTTGTCAGCTAACTCAACATGGATCATTTTTTTCTGTACTCCTTCCAAAAGCTACTTTAAAAGAGTTTCAGCCTCACTTTGATCAGTTGCCAGAAATGATGTGAACTCCACTTTCACTACAAAAAAACTGATGAATTACGGCAGTTTTTATAAGGATATTGCGGCGGTTTTAACCGCCGCTACGTTCATTTCTGGCGGTTTTAGAAAACATAGTAATTCCGTCTGTCACAAATTATTGCGGCGGTTTTGGCAAAACCGCTGTAATTGTAATTCGTATAGAACGGCGGTTATAATTGTTTAATACAACAGTTAAGCACCGTCGTAATTTATATGTGCAAATCGAGTGGCTGTTTTAAACCGCCATAATGTGTTTAATGCATCAGCCATTAATCCATTTTTTATTCTCATAATTTCATTCTATTTCTACTCCAATTTAATTGCTCAAAGCTTATTTATTTGCTATACAATAAGTATTGACACAAACATATAAGAAAAGATCATTGAAACAAATTAATCATCATATATGAAAAATATAAGCATTTCAAAATTACATAACAAAATTCTTTAAATGTTAAGGAGCAATATATTACATCCATCCGAAGAGAAATAACCATATCATATTCTAGAATTAATATTCTATGAGAACTCGCATAATCTACGTTGATAAGATCCATATGGTGATCTTCTTAGCTAGCCACCTGCAGTAAGTGACATGAAATAAATATTTGATTTTGAGATATCTAACAACAGAGGTGCTAAAATGTCATGAAAGACATAACTATATAAAAAGGAACAACTGAAAGTCACTTTTGATATGAATCATTTCTCCTCCCCGATGCATTGTAGCAGCAATATAAAAGTAAAGGTTAAAGCTGCTAAAAATGTGATTACTTTGTGCATACAAAAAATTATAGAGACTTAATTTTAGTGATGGACTCTTTAGTCATTATTTTGATGCTAAACAACAAAAAAGCGAACAATTACAAACTGGAAATTATAAATACATGACTAAACATACTGAATAAGGGATAAAGAACTTCAAAAAGAAATTATTTACCAAGTGTTCTAATTAACTTAGAGCTAATTATAATTAATCCTGTAGCGTTAATGTTTAGCTAATAGGAATTCCACATTCTCTGTGTCTAAGCCAAATCGTGTGGATAGTTATGGTATCAGCATTTCATGTTCTTATAAGATTTCTAATATAACTCTTCCAATCATCAAAAGGGCACAAAATAATCATTGGCCATAAGATGAAGAGTTTTGTTACCTGAAAGCCATAACCTTCTCAAATTGAGCATCATCCTGGACAAAATAATGAGAAAGGAAAAATAATCATTAAGATAACAATTGTTCAGTACATATTTGCTCATTTAGGTAGAGGAATATGGTGCTTGTGAATTTCTTACTCCTATTTTTTCCTTCACTTCTCTTACAACTCCTTTAAATATATCCTCGGACTGATTTTGACACAACGTTTTAAAGGGGGTACGAGTATGCAATTAACATGTTTCAATACTTTAGTCAAAAGTGATCAAGATGTTAGTCAGTTTGCAATAGAGAAACATACCTCAAGAATAAAACTAGTTGGTATTTTCCATAAGCCTGAAAGAGGTGGCACATATTATTTCTCTTGCACGACGAGCACCTTCAGCAATAAGTCTATTAAGCTGAGACTACAAAAACATTCATCCATACATGATAAACGATTGTCAATGCAATCAACAGGTTCCACATATACCTATAAAGCCACTGAACATTACCCGAGATCCCAAATCTTGAAACATCTGTTAGCAATCCTCTCCCATATCATACTTCATCTGATACACCCAAAGGTCTTGATCTCTTTAACATGTGTTCTAAATCAGCTGTTTGATGGTCTACTGTTGAGTTATTTGTAGGAGTCCTCTATGCTAAAGCATAGCTGCTGCAAAATAATTAGCACATTGAGGAAGTGTCAGGTTATGGCTGACTAACTCTTAACAAGCGGAAAGGGATCAGAGAGAGGAGAAATCAGTATCTCCAATTTGTAAATACACTCTGACTCCACTATATTTGTCAATGAATCGGTATTCACACTAGCATTGATGGCCTCATAGCATCATTTCGAGGCTGTGCTACACTTAAATACCCGTTGCATTATTTGGAGTGGTAAAACCTATCCATCATTAGTGAACTATAAATGAATTTTATCTAGCTTGCTTTTCTGCAGGTAGTGCCACTCTTGCCAAATAAATAGTTAAGTTTCTCCTTTTCAGTTTAGTGAAAATGGATTTCATTAAAAAGAAATGACCATCCTATATGCATATCACTTTGTGATACTCCTTGAGATGCAATATAAGTGTTTGAATGTTCCCTTTTATCAAGCAATATGATCCAACATAAGAACAACGGTAAGGCCTAAATTTGCAATGGCTTTTGTGTTTGAGCTTTCGATAGTAAGATAATATTTTGTGACAGCCAAGATTTTGATGTCTACAGGGAAATTCAGTGACTACTACATTCTCCAAGGCTACGCACCTTATATTTCCAAGTTCAACTTAGCAAGTAGGACATCAATTTTGTGCTCCACTTCTCCTTAAAGACAATTTTAAATATAGATATACACATCCTATCTATAAATGAATCATAATAGGATGTTTTTCGATAGTTCTCCAAACTTAAAACTCAAAAATACTTCAAAACCGAGATGAAACTAAAAACATGAGTGATGCACCATGGCATAAATATTTTCTACCAAATTACTTGAAAGGCAAGTAGGGAACAAAAGATACTGATATATTTTTTCAAAAGGTTGGATTTTTCTGCAGAAAAAAGGTAAAGAAAAGACAATAGACAAAGATGAATATCTTGTTAAAAAGAGAATTGAAATGATTCAGTTACATATCACTAGAATACTTCAAAAAAAAGATATACATAGCTACATTTAGCAATTGTAAAATGTCCATATAAAAAAAGTACTACTCCATGTGTTGGAATCAATGAGGATTTGTTAATATTTGACAAATTCATCATCTTTAAACTCTATCCGAGAAATTCTACAATTATCGTACTATAATTTTTTATAAAATTTGATAACTTCAATTAACCCAAGCAAAATTCAATTCCTCAAATTAGTCCATAGCTTGCATAAGAATATATAGTAATGGCCATGGAATACAAGCTCATACACCAAACTCATGATTTAATCCATCAATTAAGCCTCAAACCTAAACTAGTAATCGCTACTGCACAATTCTTTCGCATCCCTAAAGGATTTCTAGCAAATTTCAATAACACACAGGTCTACTCATTACAACACTGGATTCATAAATCTAAAAGAAAACTAAAATAGATCTAACAACTAAGTGACGAAGCAGTACAAAACCACAAAGAAATCGAAGATCCATACTTACATAAGCAAATAAAAGAGGAAATTGAGAGACATGACTGAACCTGCGAGCTTCATAGCACCGACAATTTCGTGAAATGGCACTGACGATTTGCGCGAGATTTGGTTGACTCCTAATTTGCGCGAGAAAGGAAAAAGGCAGGACGCAGAGAATAGGGTTTCAAATATAAAGTATTAAAACTCAAAAGAAAATGGCAGTTTAAGCCGCCTGTAATATTCATCAAAACCGCCCGTTTACAAACATGTAATACGACGGATAGAAAACAGCCGTATATACGTGATATTTGTGGCAGTTTTTATAGACCGCCGGAAATAAACCGTCGTAATATTTTACTTTTTTTGTAGTGTTTAGTAAAGGTTTCAAACATTCAACTGACAAACAAGAAGAGAGGGTACCTTCAACTGATTTCGTGATTTCGTGAAATGGCACCGACGATTTGCACGAGATTTGGTGGACTCCTAATTTGCGCGAGAAAGGGAAAAGGCAGGAAGCAGAGAATAGGGTTTCAAATATAAAGTATCAAAACTCAAAATAAAATGGCAGTTTAAGCCGCCTGTAATATTCATCAAAACCGCCCGTTTACAAACATGTAATACGACGGATAGAAAACAGCCGTATATACGTGATATTTGTGGCAGTTTTTATAGACCGCCGGAAATAAACCGTCGTAATATTTTACTTTTTTTGTAGTGTTTAGTAAAGGTTTCAAACATTCAACTGACAAACAAGAAGAGAGGGTACCTTCAACTTAAGAACGAGCTACCACTTGAAAAGTGTGATTCCACTTTCTTAGAGTCTAGTTTTTAATACCCTACATCTCCTGCCATTGAACCTTAAATGCATTATCATTTACAGAGAGGTTGAAGATTTCACTTAGCTTAAACTGAAAGTCTAATGAGAACTTCACCAACACACTCTCTAACAAAAAAGAACCCTGTTCAGACTTCAGATCACTTCCATGACTGAGGTGATAGATAGAATATTAAAGTACAAGAAAAACTTGTTGAAGAATGATAAGTTAGGTTTGTACCAACTTATAGATACATCTTTACGTGAGTTTTTGTTGTCTTTAAATAATAAATATGGCTTACATAAGTTGCATAATTATAGGTCGCAACTGATTTGAAGTTAAGAAGATGAAAAGAATGAAAGAAATGATCAGGAGGAGCCACAATTGTGCAGCTTGGGACTTAGTCTGAGAACTGCTATCAGCTAACGAAGATCGTTAACCACACTTTTGAATCGCACAACGCGAAGTGGTGTTTGAAGCAGCGAAAATTGTGAGAAGTCACAACTCTCAGGATCCCAGCTCTACTCGCAAAACTGAATTGCTAAAAGCCAAAGTAAAAACCAAATAAATGAAAATCTGAAGAAAATTTTGTGAGTCACAAATCAAATCGCAAATAGTGATTTGGAGGTGCCGCAGTCCAACTTTTACGAGAATTTTAATTAAGTCCATGGTTAGGACAATTGTTGTAACTTAAGTTATCTTTTGTTTTTTTGGGGAAAATGACGGAGCAACGCAATGGGAGGAGAGACACAAAGGTTTTCACCACTAGAGAGGAATATTCAAGACTTTAACATGTCTATCATCGTGACTCGATTTCTATCAATATCTTTATATTAAATCATAAATTTTATTATTTTATTGTCGTTATTGATTTGAACATGATTAGCTAAACCCTTTATCTCGGGTTTTCATGAAACCTTAATTTGGTTGAATTGTTTGACTTTGTTTTTCTATTAATCTAGCTGTTTTAGTTATCTTTGTTCAACTATATGTTAACTGTTGTTTAATTGAAGAGCTCTCAATTGAATGCTCCATTATATCTGTATTAGTGCAACCTTTTAATGGTTGAATTACTTGCTTCTGTTTCCTATTAATCTAGCTGTTTTAGTTCCCCTTGGTCAACTATATGTTAATTGCTGTTTAATTGAAGATCTCTCAAGTGAACAAAGGGAGCCATTATATCTTGTTTTATTTGGAAAAGACTACAGGATTAGTTTGTTTTTGAACACCACTTCCGAATAATCAAGGAACGGACTGCTAGAATTCAAAAGTGGAACTTAGGGATAACTCTACTTTGTTGTGATTTTTGTGAGTTGATTGATTTATTATCTAGGATTAACTCGGGAAAATAGTTCTAGGATACTGTTGCTACTTTGTTGCTTAGTTCTGAAGAACTCCCAATCGAGGAAAACGAAATCAGCGGTATTAGAGGGAACACATCATTCATTCATTAACATAATTGGGAATATTAAAATAATAGGCATCAATGCGAATTCTCTTTACTTTAACTGCTTGTAGTTTAGCTTCTTGCTTAGTTGATTTTAGTTCAATTAGTTAATTAATGTATAGAAATTCAATTATAATTGTTCAACATATTAACTTTGGAATATCAGAACTACTATTTTTAAAATTATATTTGCAGCGTGAGCTTATCCTTTTAGAACAAGTTTTGGGTGTAATTAGGGAGTATATTGTTAAAGCATGATATTTTAACACAATTTCATAATTCATAGATCTGCAGCCATGCTTTCATTTTAGTGACACTCCCAAATGTTGTCAGCAGAAATAGTAATAGTTGAGTACCTATATAGTTAAGAGCACTGTAATTCTCTAATAGAGCCATCTGTCCATGAAGATCCACTAGGTCTCTGCCTACTCTCATCAACTCTTCAGATTCTCTAATCTCAGCAATGCTATCTCTGAGTACCTACAGTTGCCAAAAGAAATTATCTTGCATAAATTTGCATAAATGTTCATTTTACCCTTAATAACATTTTTATAGCCACACAAACATGTATAACTTGTTTTAGACTACATGTTTCAAAAGTTTTTGTTTCTTTGTTAAACTTGGTGTGAAATCAAAGAACATCACAAATATTGGGACGGATGAAGTAATATTTATACATGTAAACAAAAATGTATGATGATGTAGTGATGAAAAGGTCAAAATGCATTTGAATATGGGTAAAACACCTCATGTAGAAGAGTATTATCATCTAAACGAGCTTAATAGCCCATTAATTGAGTTTTGAAATTTAATTAGTTTTAAGGATATATCAATCTAAACTAGTACAACAACAAGAGGGTGTATATGGAAAAGAAATGGATACATTCAATTGAATGATATAATCCTCTTCTTTCTCGATGAAGAAAGTGTTGAACTTATCGATTTCGTTCCCCAAAAGATTGACAAAATCATTCACCTCTTTGGAGTTTATTAGCATAGATCAACTTCAATTGTTTCTTTAGATCCTTGTAAAATAGGAATTTATCCTGCCATTCTGGTAAAGTCTCTTCTATGAGGCTCAGCAACATCATTAACATCCTTCCGAACTTCATGATTCCTCAATTTCCTTTCCTGCCACCAGTCAACGAGCATTGGAATTGGTCCACACATGCTTCTCAATATCGGAATACCATTCTCGCTGTATATGTTTTTGCTCACTATACCCTCATTCCTGAGACAATTAAATGAAATGTGTCAATTAAGTCTTGCTTTGGTTTTTGGTGACACTTTGAGCAAGAAAGGGTCAAATCCACTTTAAAATGTAATTAAGTAAATCTGGGATCAAATTAACATTTTCAAAACTTTCTAATCTTTTATAAAATACAAAAAAAACAACTTCATTTTTCAACTTTATAATTCTATCCAAACCATTTTTTTTTTAAAAAGTAAAAGAAAATAGAATTTCTCTTCTTCTTCTCCCAACGTTCTCTCTTCTCTTCTTCTTCCTTAGAAAATCCGACTATCAAAACAAGTATTCTCCCCCATTATCTTATCTTCCTCCTCATCTCCGGCCGTGACTCTCTCCTCTTTCTGAACTGAAGATTGTGTTCGACTTAAAATGGGTAAGTCATTTTTTTGAAAGATTTTACAATTTTCGAACAATACTAAGTTTTTTTCTTGGGTTAATGAACAATAAATTGTTCTATAGATGTGAAAATTGAATAATGGTGTAATGGTACCTATTATTTA